GGAAAATGGAAGCCATGATTATCACCTGGGGCCCAGTGACCATCCTTTTTCCTCCTTCTTTACCATCAGAACCACAATCTTGTTGACTTTTCCAAGTAACCTTGCCCATCAAGGGAGGACTCAGAAACTCCCCCATCTTGGAGGATAAATCTTGTCTGGTCCAGCTGTAGCCTCATCCCTCTTGTTAAAGGAATGGTTTAGGCCTGGACAATGCTGGACAATGGCACAAGAGGTAAACTCTGTTGGAGGACTTCTAGGAAGGTTTTCCTTGCTGTTAACAAGGTGCACATGAATATCCACCTCTGATGACTGGAATGGAAAATGATGTGATGAACTTTGAGAGGAGCCAGCATTAGAAAATAAGCCAACATACTGAGGGTGATAGAGTGCAGCCTTGGTCCTCAGGGCAAAGTCTCCTGGTGATTTTCCAAGGACCATTTCCCTTCTTTAATATTAGACCCTCTAGGCTCGGCGCCTATAGCTCAACCGGCTAAGGCGCCAGCCACGTACACCTAAGGTGGCGGGTTCGAATCCCCAGCCCGGACCCGCCAAACAACAATGACGGCTGCAACCAAAAAATAGCCGGGCGTTGTGGCGGGCGCCTGTGGTCCCAGCTACTTGGGAGGCGGAGGCAGGAGACTCGCTTGAGCCCAGGAGTTGGAGGTTGCTGTGAGCTGTAATGCCATGGCACTCTACCCAGGGGGACAGCTTGAGGCTCTGTCTCAAAAAAAAAAAAAAAAAAAAAAATTAGACCCTCTAAATTTAGTTGCATACATGGTATACTTACCAGCAAGGTGGGACATGGCAGGTCAATGCTATTTGAGTAGAGATGAGAAGTGCACCTTGTGGGTTGCACCCTTAGAGAAAATGGATAAGTTAGAGAAAAGTTTCTTCACTTCTTGCCTTTTCCCCTTTCTACATGGCTAGAATGAAAATGTGGATGCCCAAGCTGGAGCAGCCATCTTGGATCAGGCTGAAAGAAAGTATAAAAAACCTGAAAGCCACTATATTAGTTCAGATTGTTTCATGAGAAAGAGAAACAAATATTTGTCTTATTTAAGCCACTGAAAGTTTTTATAGCAGCCAAAGTTATATCCTAATGAATACAGTCCATGGTGATGTCGAGCTGATGAATTAACCAACATAGATCCATTCTATCTTTAAACAAATTGTTATGTGAGAGTAAATGTCTTTGTTAAGCCTTTTTAAGTTACAGCCAAATGCATTCTAATTGATATGAACACTTTTTCTTTTTTTCTCTTTTTTTTTTCTTTTTGAGAAACTTCTGATTGAGATAGCTCTTTATTTATGATGGTGGAAAATAAGCATGGTGAAGGAACTGATAGAAGACAAATCATTGAGGATTTGGGGCAGGGTAGAAAATAATTTGCAGAGTAACATCCCAGAGGATGCAGAAAAAGAGGGTCTGGAGTACTGAAGTACCAATGGAGGAATACATTTTCTTCTTACTCTTTTTTTTTTTTTTTTTTTGAGACAGAGTCCCAAGCTGTCACCCTGGTAGAGTGGTGTGGCATCATAGCTCACAGCAATCTCAAACCCTTGGGCTTGAGCAATTCTCTTGCCTCAGCCTCCCGAGTAGCTGGGACTTCAGGCACCTGCCACAACACCCAGCTATTTTTTGGATGTAGTTGTCGTCGTTTGGCAGGCCCGGGCTGGATTCCAACCCACCAACTCTGGTGTATGTGGCTGACGCCCTAGCCACTTGTTCTTATTCTTTCTTATTTAAAATAAACTTGACCTTTGCCTTTTAATAATATCTTCATTGAGATATAATTTACCTAATACAATTCACCGATTTAAATTGTACAATGCAGTGACTTTTAGTGTAGATGGGACATATGCACAGAGTTGCGTAGAGTTGATTTCACGATCAATTTTAAAACATTTTCATTGTCTCAAAAAGAAAACTCATACCCTTTCACAGTCACTCTGTAATTCCCTTCTTTCCAATCCTAAACAACAATTAATCTACTTTCTGTCTGTCTAGATTCGCCTATTCTGGGAATTTCATAATAATGGAATCATACAATATGTGTTACAATAGTGGAATCATACAACACTATGGGAAGAAAACACTTCCCATAGTGTTTTCAAGGTCTATCCACGTTATAGCATTTTATCAGTAGTTCATCCCTTTCTAAAACAAAATAATATTCTATTGTCTGAATATACTATGTGCTACTTTTTGTTTATCCAGGCATTATTTATTTGGTATTTGGATTGTTTCCACATTTTGGATTTTTTTTTTTTTGAGACAGAGTCTCAGTTTGTTGCCCTTGGAAGGGTGCTGTGGTGTCATAGCTCATAGCAACCTAAAGCTCCTGGGCTCAGTTGATGCTCTTGCCTCAGCTTCCCCAGTAGCTGGGACACCACAATGTCAGGCTACTTTCAGAGACAGGGGCTCGCTCTTGCTCGGGCTGGTCTCAAACTACTGAGCTCAGGCAATCTACCCACCTCTGCCTGCCAGAGTGTTGGGATTACAGATATAAGCCACTGTGCCCGGCCCACCTTTTAGATATTAATAAGAATAATGCTGTTATGAATATTCCCATATAAGTTTTTATGTGTACATATGTTATAATTTCTTTCTTCTTTTCCTTTCTTTCTTTTTCTTTTTTTTAAGAGACAAGGTCTTGCTCTGTTGCCCAGGCTGGAGTGCAGAAGCACAATCGTGGTTCATTTTAAACTTGAACTCCTGGGCTCAAGCAATCCTTCTGCCTCAGCCTCTTAAGTAGCTATGACCATGCTTAGCTAATTTTTTTAAAAAATTATTTGTAGATATGAAGTCTCACTATGTCACCCAGACTGGTCTTCAACTCCTGGCCTCAAGCAGTCCTCCCATCTTAGCCTCCCCAAGTGCTGTGATTACAGGTGTGAGCCACTATCTCTGACCTTATGTTGCTATTTCTTTGGGGCATATATCCAGGAGTGGAGTTGCTAAGTCATATGGTAATTATGTTTAACTTTTTGAGGAATGGCCCCATGTTTTTTCGAAGTGGTTGCACAGTTTCCCATTTTCACTAGCAGTGTGTGAAGACAGCGGTTTCTCTGCATCTTCAACACTCATTAATGTCTGTCTTTTCGATCATCCTAGAAAGCATGAAATGGTATCTCAGTGTGGTTTTGATTTGCATTTCTCTAATGACTAAAGATGTTGTGACTTTTGGGCGGCACCTGTAGCTCAAAAGGGTAGGGCACCGGCCCCATATGCCAGAGGTGGTGGATTCAAACCCAGCCCTGGCCAAAAAGAAAAAAAAAGATGTGACTTTTCATGTACTCATTGGCCATTTGTATGTATTTTTTTGAGAAATGTCTATTTAGATCTCTTGATCATTAAAAAATTAGGTTATTCATAATTTTATTATATTAGGCTGATACTTCAGATTTCAATTTAATAGCCCAGGCTTCATCCTATCCTTCCCCCTTCCCTCCTTCCCATATTGTAACCTACTCTCCAACAGTGAGAAATCTGGCTCTCATCATGCCCACATTTCCCATGGCACATAACGTTCAAGTCCAGTGCACACTTAAAAGTAATTTAAGAATCGCTAATCCATATATGCTGGAAGAAAAACAAGTGTGAACTAGAGTACAGTACTTGTATGTAGTTCTTTTTGTCTTTAGTTTTGTAGCAGGCAGTTGAAACTGTGTTTCCCAGAGTTCCTCAAGCTAGTTCTTTTTTTCCTGTCCCCTTCTGTGACGTAGGCTATTCATGTGTAATGCAGTTCACCCTATGCTGTTCACCTGTAATTACAGACTGTTACAGTAAGAGCTTTCCATGTAGCTCTGTCCGCTGTCCGCACAGTGTCCACAGCTCTGAGGTCACTAAAACCATTAACTGATATATGGAATGCAAAAAAAAATTTAGCAGTGGTGGGTGAAAATATTGGTTTCAGCCATGGTGATTTTGAAGTGTCAGTGGGGATAACCTCAGGAAGTTAGGAATTCAGCTCTGGTGTGACAATTGTCTCTCCTTAAGAGAGCAAAAGATTGGAAGTGTGGATTTGGGAATCATCAGCCTGCAGGTCCTGTCTAAAGCCGTAAACTGTAAGTTAGGTGGAGAGGGTATGTGTAGAGTGGGGAGTTGCTTACAGGGGGACCATAGAGACCATGGGCCTGGTCATAGGTGCCAGCATGATCTGCTGAGGGGAGCTGACCAGTAGAGAGTGTTGGCAACACCAAATGCAAGAGAAATTGTGAACAGGTGAGGGATGGGGTGATGGTGTCTCGAAGGCCACGTAGCATGAAGGGACAGTGTTTCTATGATCCTGAAAACTAAATTTTTAGGCAGAGAGAAAGAATGTTTTTGCTTTTCTTTCAAAATTGCTGGGTTCATCCGCCTTCCCCTCACCGTTCCTGCCAAGGGTATCCTAAACTGTGCAGTATTTTACTTCACTGTTTGTATTGGATACCCCAGACGTCATCTCTGCATATCTAGTGGGAAATTTGGGGCACTAGACACTGAATTACAAATTATGATGAATCTTCAGCTTTCATTTATCTTGCTCATCTTGAGATAAATTTTGCCACCCTAACTTGAGACAAACCTGCTCAGTATACATATAAAAATATATACATAATACCTTCTTTACTGACACGACCTTGCTTTTAATATGGAAAAAAATGGTGCCTGGGAGAGCTAACCACTTTGACTATGAAACTGTTGCCAGCTTATTTGTACAAATGTGTAACTGTTCTGAAAAACGGGTATTTGAACATCAGGAATAATGGTCTGTGTATCTCTGAGACTAGATGAAGCTGTTAAATTCTTTGAGAGTGTGTATGTGGTGGGGAGTGCTGTTTATTTGTGTGTGTTTTCCATCGAAAATGTTGCAGCACATCGTCTGTCACGGTCCTGACGCTCTGGGGGTGGGCTGAAGTAGGGAGGGTGTGACGCTGGCATTTGTGTGAACTCAGCTTGTGATGCTGAGCTGGGTTCATCCGCTCCCTCCCTGTTCCTCCGCGCTCCTTCCCACCAGCGCTGCAGCCACATCCCCGAGTCGGAGCCAACTGCGCCCAGCCGGGCACCCAGCATCGCCCCGCCGGCAGCCTGCGGCCCGGGAGCAGACCAAGCCCAGCGACTACGCCTCTCCGCCGCCCGTCCCGGACACCATGGCCAAGAACCGCAGGGACAGAAACAGTTGGGGTGAGTGGCCGGTGGGGACTGGTGCAGCCTGCCGGGGCCGACCCTCCCGCTCTGCATCTGGATCTGCATCTGCAGCCAGGGAGGGCCGAGGACGGCTGGGGCTGGGCCCTGCCGAGCTGCTCCCCGCGGGGCCGGAGGCGCCGAGAC